CCAAGGCCAACAACAAAGACGGAATTTGGCAACCATACGCAACTGGTTGACCGGCAAATAAACACGCAAATAGCCTGTGGGATCGGAGCCCTCTCTTGCTGGTGAAGGGGAGCCCATCCAGTTATGATACCTGCAAAGCGAAACCCCTTTACCTTGGAACACACGCGGATCACCCCCTTGGCTGAACTGATCCCAGTCACTTAAAAGGAACGCAGATAACCTCTCCAGAACCTCACCCACTCGAATCAACTGAGCCGAGTATACATCTACCTTCTGAGAAACGGAGTCACACGCCGGCCACTCATGGCCCAACCAACGCAAAATGATGAGCACTTTAGACGACCAGCAATCCACTTTGAGATCAGACAGAAGAGCCAGACGGAGATCATCTACTAACACGTCATGATAGACCGACCCACGGGACTTGACTATCTTATTCCAGAAACACAACGCAAGGCGTAACCAAAAGTACTGCAAAGGCAACTGAGACAGCTCCCTGTACAACAGCTTGTAAGGTACCTGCTTGAGCCCAGCACAACGTAAACAGAAGTCACGCTGGACCTGGACCATACCATCTTCCAAAGCCAAATCAAAATATGACTTACCAGCGGGTAAAACACCTTTACCTAACCGCAGGACGGAGACAATCCTATCAGGACCCCAGACCTCAGCACCATAACAGAGAACCGAACGGACCTGGGTGTCGAACGCTTGAAGCCGAACGGCAGGAGCCCACACCCTGTTCTCATCCAACCGATTACTAAGACCGAACATAGCCCGTCGCCCTGCATCCAAAAGTTCGTTGACACAACTCGCAAACGGGGACGCAGGGCCCCAATAGAGACCCAAGTACCTAACGCGACCACACCAGTTAATAGGACTAGGAACAAGTAAACTACCAACCATGGGTGGGTGCCAAAGCGACCCATCAGTACGGAGAGGAAGCATGAGCCTCACCCCCTCAAATGCCCTCTTAACGACATCAACGGAAGCAGCCACAACAAGGGCCTCACATTTCCGAACGTTGCAGCGCATACCAAAAGCAGCACAGAACTCAATAAGCAGCTTAAGCGAGAACTGGAGGCGTGCCAACGAGGTCGCGAACAAAGTAAGGTCGTCTGCATAGAACAATAGAGGCAACCGACGATCATTAATGACAGGACATTCGTGTGCACGTGTGTTGAACCATTCGTCCATACCATCCCTCGCTTCAAGGTAGTCGGCAATAACCTCAATGAAGAACCCGAACAAATTGGGACTCATGGGACACCCCTGCTTCACACCCTGCAGAGAGGCAAAGATGGACCCTAGGCGACCGTTAACCTTGACCCGTTGGAGAACACGTTCGTAGCTGGCTTTAAGGGCCGCCAACATGGGTCCATGCACACCCCTCTCCTCAAGACGCAGCCACAGGCTTGCCCGGGGCACTCTATCAAAGGCTTTCTCAAAATCCACCTGACACGCATACAGGGCCTGATTGCTGCCGGGCCGCTCATAACGACTTTTAAGATGACGAACAACGAACAACTGATGAACTGTACTGCGCTTTTGACGGGACCCAGCCTGAAAACGGCACCGGACACCATCTTTATCCCCGAAAGCTGCCAGCCGCCTGTCGAGAACCGTGGCATAGCATTTGGCAATGGCGCATCCCACAGCTAGACCCCTGTAGTTGTCCTTGACCCTGGGGTCGCCTTTCTTAAATAACGGACTGAGAGACGCCACGCAAAACTGGTCAGGCACATCCCCTGTATCCCAAATGTGCTGGAAAAGGTCTCGAATCGCAGGGGCAATAACATTGACAGACACCCTGTCCTCGTCACCTTCGCGAGGGATTCGCTTGGCATACTTGTAGCACTCGGCCGGGACCATACCCAGACCCGGGGAACGCCCATTAGACAGGGACGACAAAGCCGCCTCAACCTCTTCAAGAGTGAACGGACCATTCATAGTGTCGGCCATAGACCGTCTAGCATGCACCGGTTCGGAATCACGCCACGCCGCCCCGACTTGGGAGCCCGTACCGAGATTGATACAGTTGAGAATGGCACAGACACGGGCCTCCTGCACCTCATCGAAGGAGGCTGAGGCATTATAAAGGCGATCGAAGTAGTCCGTCCACTCCGACACGTCTTCCACATTGCATCTGGACGCTGGCTTACCGTTCAGACGTTGCCATAGGGTCTTCGCATCACGTTTGCATGTGGAATAGAAACAAAATCGCGCTATTGTTATATGAGTCGCTGTAGTACCGGCTCCAACTGTCAACATCTGCCAAATTCATGCGAGCTTGTGCTGGGTTAGTTGGGTGTAAGGCCCTTTGTGTTACTATTAGGCAAACTGTACATGTTTCACATTGGCCCATGTCCTCAGGGCCACCATTTATTGGCGCATTAAGCTGGCAAGCTTAGCTTGTTTTTGTTGTTCAGCTCACACTGATCAACAAAACGGGTCATGTGCCTCTGGCGTGCTTCCATTACCAAACCGTTACAAAACCAGTTGGACTACAAAACTAGTTACTCAGGGCATATGATGCCGCCGGCGGACCTGACTACCAATTACACGACACAGCTGACAGGAATGTTGCAGCCTGGGATTCCTTCCGGTCCTTCTGCCCTACAATACACGGTGGGTGGGAGGGAGTTGGGAGTTGTTGACCCGTACCAGCGCTGATGTGGGGCATGTATTGTGGGGCAGAAGGACCAGATGGAAGTACAAGCTGCAACATTCCTGTCAGCTGTGTCGTGTAGATGGTAGTCGGATCCGCCGGCGGCATCATATGCCCAGAATAACGGGCAATATGGCCGCCACCAGCATGATCGTAACCAGCTCCATTATGAAATTTGAGCTTTCTTGATGCTAGAAATCAAACCTACTGCACTCTATGTAGACTCATCGGCTGAATGCGCGCAGTAAATGACGGCTCTGATGCGAAATAGTTAGACGAACAGTTAGATGAACAGCACAGGGCCTTCCGCCCAACTACCCCAGCTAACTCAACGCAAGCTCGCATTGGTTGTTGCTTCATATATAAAACCATTTTCTGTTACAGGCCCGCTTCTTCGTGCCATTCAGTCTCTCGTTATCTGTAACATGAAGCAACAACTAACTGCCAGAAAGCCCTTGGGTTACAATTGCAGTAGGTGAGAGCTCTTACCGATAGGCCTCTCGCGCTTCTCTGAGCAACCGCTGATGTTTCATAATTGATGAAGACTTGCGATATCGTACAACCGATTTGTAAGCAAGTTGCATTACGCCTCTTCGCGTTAGCTAATTAATTTGCGGTTTAACCTGTATGCGTAACGGAGCATTAGGCTGGTTTAATGCTCCTGCACAAAGCGAACATACAACTTGTTGCTGCCCCACGACGACGTGTGAATGGACCCTAACTCCGAGCATGGACGGGAGTGTCTTGGTGAGATAAAAATTCCTGTTTAGGAGATTCAGTCGCTGCATCCGTCATGAGGTTGTCTTTTCCAGGCGAAGCCATGTTGGGTGGCGCAAAAGCGGCTCTCCAAGCGTCAATCGTCAGCGGCGCACTTTACTTCGCTGCGATGAAGTATTCACCGTTTTTCCGAAACACCTTTAGCGCAAGTGCAAGAACCGCACTTACGGTAAGCACAGCGGGTGGAAAACCTGTCGTAGCAGTTTCGCACCGGCGTTTCAAAACTCCTACTCACGACGCTGTGCGCGTATCTGCAAAGTGCCAACCGTGGCATTCCCACAACGTGCTGCACGAGTGCCCCAAGTCCTGGTTCTGCCTGCCTCCTCCCCTCCCTACCGTCCTGCCCTCCCCTATCTTCACTCCCACATCCCAAACACACCCAGATGATGCCCATCTTCTACACGAGCTATTTACAAACGGAGCTCACGATGCACAAATGCATGAAGGTTCGTGTTCAAGAGCCTAGGCCTCCTGCTCCTGATGTTCGGGACGTTGGAAAGGTCCCCTTGCGTCTGAGTCCCCTCGGGGAGGGGGAGGGAAGGGAGAGGGAAGGGGGACGAGCCCCTGTGCGGCGGTACGGAATCACCGGAGATATTGGATTCTGATTTCGCCTTCGGCGGCCTCTTTCTTTTGTGGAAGCTTGATTGTCGTTCCCCATCGTTTCCGCAACCATTGATATCGCCATGGGTTGAATTTATTATGAAACAAGGCAAGATACGAGCGTTCCACGAGTGTTCCAGTTGTTTACGGAGCAGCACAAACCTGTGCGCACAGCTCTGTATTTCTTTTTCACGTCGTGCCCCACTAAAGGGGGGGGGCAACAGGCCCGCGATAGACAATCCGAGCGGCCCTCTTTGAAGCTTCGTCGCGCAGCAACTACCACCTCCTGTGCCTCTTCCTGGCCCCGCTCATTCTCCCGGTTGAGATGGACGGACTCGTGAGACTCTAGGAATTGTTGTGAACTCAGTGAACCAGTTGTGTTTCGGAGCGTCAGCGGTGGGTGTTTTCCCACGCATGCCATCTGATACCCCCCCAACACCCCCAACACCCCCAACATACGCGACACAACCCATTCCTCGAACCCCAAACGCCTGCTGTATCCGAAGGCCGCCAGGACAGTCGACTACGTGGCGATTCACGACGATGACGAGGATGAGGTCGTACATCGTCGCCGGTAGCGACGAAAATGTCCGACGGTGTACGACATCTCCTTGCTTGCTAGGGTGCCGCGTGAGGTTATACCTGTGTTTGAAATTCCGTTGGTGTCTATCCCCTCCGGACCCTCAGGGGGTCCGGGTATTTTTTCCCGAAGGGGTATGAGCGCCGCCATCAGGGGAAGTGTTATCCATGTTGGCTAGTAGGAAGCTTAATAGTAGTTTAATGAGTAGCTCTTACGTAGTATTAGCTGTCACTCACGGGTTTCGCCCTTGGTTTGGCTTTCTTGGCTCTCCCCTTCGTTGTCATATTCTCGTGTGGACGGGCGGGTAATGACGGTAGAGTGTGTACGGTTTATGGACGACGCTGGCGGTGTAGGCAGTACGGTGTACGGTGTATGGTGTAGGTGGCTTTTGAAAGCATCAATAAGTTGTGTAGTGTGTTGCAGATAAGTCGCGAATACGTACTTGGGGTTTTAGGGTTCAGTTTGCGTGTACGAACAAGTGGACGAGTGCGGCAAAGAGACTGTTGACCGTTGACGGCAGTTACTTGTGATATAAATGTTGTTTCCCTCGCTTTATTGACCTTCTGCATGTTGCGTGAAGGTTTTTCTGCTGCGGCCCTAGGCGGTCTGGGGCCAAAAAGGGGGGGGGGGCTGCGAGGAGAGAGTTGTGGGCGCTTCGTTGGTTTGCCTTGTAGGCAGCTCGTGTACGAGCTGCGGAGCGGTCCTGTCCTGCGCGATGCTCTGTGGGGCTTCCTCACAGCTTGGCTTAAGCTTCATGATAGTTTGCGCTCGTTAATTAGTTGCGGCCTTTAGCAATCTCACGCGGGATGCGGCCATATCTCGTAATAAAAACATGAGAGCTTGGCTGGCAGGCCGAGGGCTTTTTACCTTTTTGCTATGGGACGGACGTCTTAATTCGGTTTAAAATATAGTTTGTTGGCCGGTTTATTTTGGCGAAGCGGTGATGGAAATCGGCGAAGGCTGTTTTGCTCTCGGTGGACTCGTTACTCGAGCAGTATGGGGCCCTGCCAGGGTCTGCTGTCCAAAATAGGCGTAAGAGAGTCATACTCGGTTTCGGAGGATTTCGAGTTTGGTTGCTTGATAGAAGGGGGGATGTGGCGCGGAGGAGGTAAAATAACATCCTAATCGCTTAAATTATTATTCCTCTTTAAAATGGTATTTTATGATTTCTGCATGCTGAGGCCCTTGAGGGATGTAATCTGGCTAAAACCTTAAACAAACCGGTGTTCGTTGTACAGTTTTCACTACGATACGAAGCCGAGGAAACCCAGGGTCATATGCTCCTTCCCTTTTCATGAGGGAATAGATTGCGAGAGCGGCCTTCGGTGGCGTCTCGTACGCTGCCTCCAAATGTCTCAACGGTTTGGCCCGAATTCATTTACATGGACGGAATGCCGTACAATGTTGAATTGCCATGGCTAGTAATCCCACGCCCGCAACCATTGGTGGCAAAAACTGCCTCTCTGCGAGCCAGTTGCTCGTGTAATTAGGATTTTGCTTCTTCGTCTTTCGAAGAAGAGACAGGAAACCTAATTAGTTAAAAAGTCTCCGGTGAGAGACGAGATGAGCTAGGACATAAAAAACATATCCCAAGCCATCACACGGAAAATATAACTTCTAAGCATACCATAAGTCTATAATGAAGATTAAGAATCAAGGGACGCAAAATCCTGCACGGCGAAGCGCTCTCCTGCTCGCATTGACTATACCATGAATGCCTGATGGACGCTGCCTCGTCTGTTCAATTCGAATCCAAAGGGCGCTTGGAGCGATCACGCCGCAGTCTCCTAGCTGCTTATCCTCTTTTCCCCTTTCCCCTCGCCCTCCAGCCATACACCTGCGACTCACCGTCCCACAATAATACCCGTTGTTAACACTGTAAAGGCATAGCAATGCAGGGTGCATCTTGTACTGCGCACCAACCAACCAACAAACAAACGGGCCAAGAAGCGTATAAAAAACGGATTTCCGCAGTACAACATCCCATATAAGGTGTGGGGATTGGGGGATGCCATTCCATTCGACGGCACGCAGCGCCGCACCCCGCCGCACCGCGCAACTCGCCGCCTACTGCAGCTGCGGTCCTCAATGCTCATAAGAAGTTCGCTTCGAGCACTCCGTCTCATATGCCGCTGCCCCTGCCCCTTAACACGCTCACCCAATACAGCGCAAAACGGGCCCCCAACCGCCTCCCGCCCCCAACCACTTCTCCCCGTCATCCTACTAAACGTCCCAATCTTTTGCAGTTCAAAGATAAACAGGAACAAAATATATTCCACAATGGGTGGGTGTGCTGATGATACTCCAAGGCCCCATGCAGCGATCTGCAACGCCTCGCCAAGGAATCTTCTCCAGTCTCCACCCTAACCCTTCCCTTGCCGTTAGCACAACCGTACGACATAATGAATGATTTCATAACCAGTCACATCTAGAAGCAAACCCGCATGCGCTTTGGCCCCCCTGCTAGCCGCCATCCTGCTTGCATGCCTGCATTGCCCCCGGCTTACCCATATGCGTGCCGTACCGCCGTAACAACCTCCCGTCAGCCGTCAACTACCAACCACCGCAGTAACAACCTCCCTTACAAGGCCATCCAAAGCACCGTTCTCCTATTGCGGCCCCAAGTGAATTCGCGCAAAATTGGCCGTTTAGGTGTTCTTCACGGGGTGCTGAGGAAGAGTGGGGGAAGGACCGGGAGATCCTTCGCGGCAGGACGTCCTCGTGCCTTTCAGAGGTTCCCCGCAGGTGCGCATATGTATGTACATATGTACACATGCTGGTAGAAATGCGTCCACCACCCTCGCCACGATTCCCAAGCCTGGAAGATCGTGAGATGGAAAAGACTTCCATGCGCGACACCGGATTTAAAATTCGGTGACGCACTCGCGATTCGTACTGTCAAAGTCAGGACGAGCGACTAACTTTGACTTCGAACCCAACGTCAGGAAAGAGGCAAATGGCGCACCTACCTCACCCGGCGTGTCGCGACGGTGGCGGAGGACGCTTCTTTCTTTGTTTGGGGGCTGGTGAAGGCGGGCTTGGAAGAGGCGGCGGCTTATGAGACCTTGGCGGCGGCCGCCGCGGCGGCGGCGGCAACGGCAGGAAGGGCGGCGGCGCTGGCGGCGGCACTGCCGGAACGAGCGGCGGCCGCCGCCGCCGAGTTATGCCGGTATTCGTGAAGGGGCCGGGGCTGCTGGGGGTGGGATTCTCTTCGGACCCTGCCTGGTAGACAGAGGGGCTGCTAGGGCGTTGTGACGGTAAAGCTGCAGGCGGCGGGGCCGGGGGTGATTGGTCGCTGGCAAGAACTGGCCGCGGTGGCGGCGGCAACGGCGGTGGCGATGGCGGCGGCGGAAGTACGACAGGCCGAGGCGGCGCCATGGCGACAGGCGGGGGCAAGGGGCTGGGAGATGGTGGGGGTGTGGGCGGTGAAGGGCGTGGAGAGGGACGGGGTGGCTTGGGTGACGGTGGCAGGGGTGTAGGCGAAGGCGGCGGTGGCGGCTTGTAGAATTCCGCACAGTCAGGGTCATCGGCATCTGCAAAGAAATTAAGAGTTTCCAGGGATTCGGGCGGGAAAGATTGTCCAAAATTCAGGTGGAAAGATAGGTGGTGGAAGAATGTAGGCGTCCGGAAGGAACCGAAATCGGCATTAGCCTATTTCTGCGTGATGAGCGACGCCCACGACCCAGGACCACACATAAGGGTCATTTCCTTTTGCTGATGCCCCTGGGGGCCCCCATCAATGCTCCGGGTGTGTATGGGCCCGCCATAGGTTACACATTTGGAGAGTAACCCAACTCTTATCTGCCAGTCTTTATCTGGACTATAGGGCATATACATCTGCATACATACATACATACATACATACATACATACATACATACATACATACATACATACATACATACATACATACATACATACATACATACATACATACATACATACATACATACATACATACATACATACATACATACATACATACATACATACATACATACATACATACATACATCATACTTACGGAAGTAGTATTCCGAACCACATCGGACTCACCGACCAGACCATCGCAGTCATTATCCCAGAAGTCCGTACATTGCTCGTACGTCGCCTCCGAGTTACCATCCGGCCGGCAAACCGTCACAACGGCAGCAAGCGATGATGTGGCGACTTGTCGTACAACCAATGTGCCCGAGGGATCGGTCCAGGAGGGGCTGCTTTCTGAGAGAAGGGCCAGATGCACCGAGTCCTTGGCTTCCATTTGGCTGGACACCTGAGATTTGAAATTGGGGGCCCGAACCGGCTTTATACGGTCTTTAAATGGTTTTGAAATGGTTTAAATAACTCGGCTTGATTGGTTAAAACATTCTCTTCGGTTCTCCCGAAAACGGAAGAATTTTTCGAGCTTGAAGGTCTCGTTTCCCTTTAACGAATTCCTAGGCCCCGAAACGCTGCTACATTCTTTGAATTTACAATCACTTTGTAGCCGTGGCTGTGTGCATGTGCGTATGGCATCGTACCAATCACCGTATGCCGGAAATGGGCGACCTGTAGCCGCGTAGGAAACCTACAAAGCCAACCTGCTCCCCCGCGGCCCCGGTTACCCCTTACTTCCCTTTGACCGCTCCATTCAAGGACCCCAAGAGTCACCCATCCATTCTCACATACAGACATACTCGCGGCTGTGTGCGCAGATGAGCATGTATGCGCGGGGGCCCCGCATCCCGAGGACTGCAACGCAAGGGTAAGGGTAAGGCCCCACACGCACCTCCTCCGCACGCCCCTTCCCGCCTTCTTACCGAAAACAAGTACACGTTGGTGCCCCCGGCGAATCCAGGAGCCACTTCGTCAAACTCGTTGAATTCCATACGGTACGAAAGCAGGAAAGTGGCATTGGCGGGATTGTAAAACTCCGAACCGCCGTAGGAAAGCACGACGCTTTCAGAAACGGACGTGTTACACAGCCAATCGGTTGTCACCTGCAGAGGTGAGCGTGAAAAATCAACCACGTATCATGAAATTCTTCCGCTGCAAAAACGTATGGGGATTTTGAAAAGCAGCAGCACAAGGGCGGAAGTGCCGCGGTGGCATGGGGACAGGCCTGGCCAAGAATTACATGTAGAGGGGAGAAGCAGTAAATGGGATGTAGCTCGAGTGTACGGCAGTTCGTTGAGGAAAGCAACGGATAATAACCCTGCTCCCAATTTCCAAGTTAGAGGCTTCCGTAATCGACTCACACTCCACTCTTGCCTGTACAACCACCTCCACTCCTCCCACATTTCGATAAATAAGATTGGCTGCGCGAAATTTACCACGCTTGAACCCTTTCATGTATTTTTTGCCATTTCATTTACGAGGAATTCAAACAGGAAAACGCGCCTATACAACCAACCATTCCCGGCTTTCATGTGCCCCTCCCTAGCTTTCCCAGTTTTCGAAAACCCACCTTCAGGTAATTGGCATCAGACAGAATCTGCGATGGAAGCTCAAATGCCAACGTATTGCCCGCAACAAGTTTCGAACTGTTGACTGTTGATGCTGGCTTGGCCCAGCCCAACTGGAAGTTGTGGGGTGCCGACAAGCACCGGGTATCGCAGCAGTAGCCCATGGCAGAGGACCAGTCGCAATGGGAACAGGATTCGGGGTCTCCCGACTCTAGGGTGGCCGCATGCATCAGGTTGTAGTTGTGACCCAGCTCGTGAAGGTAAACCTGCGCGAACATACACACATACACACATATAAATATAGACACACAAGCATACATACGTACATACATACATACATACATACATACATACATACGTACATACATACATACATACATACATACATACATACATACATACATACATACATACATACATACATACATACATACATACATACATACATACATACATACATACATACATACATACATACATACATACATACATACATACATACATACATATGTATGGATGAGACCAAGCTTGACTAAGCTGCTACTATGACCGTCGGCCAACCGCGGCCGTGGCCACCGACAGCGACCTCAATTGTTTGAGCGTAGTTATGGTTATCTAATTAGCCTGAAAATGTCGCAGAGGCGACCAGCAGTGGCTGTTAGCCGCGGCAATGTTCAAAATGGCCGCCAGCCGACCTCAGCCGCGAGACCGCAATCCATACCGACCAAAAAGATAAAGGCCGTCAGTGGCTTTTACGGAACAAATGAAGGCTTGGCTTTCTACAGAGCCACACTAGAACTGGAACCGATCGTGGTGACAGTCCGGTGGCCAGCGGGCTCAGATACGGGCGACATCATCGCGCAAATATACGGTCCATTAGGACTTCAAATTCTGGCAACAATTGGCCAAATCTTCCGCAGCAACCAGGAGTTCAACCGTTGGGGAGGCCCTCGCATTCAAAAACCGGTTGCTTTATCCGATGGGAAGGGAACGGCACATTGTGAAGGAACTCTCCATCC